ATAATATTAGAATTAGTTTTGTTTTAACAAAAGCAATTGAGCAATCCACTCAAGTCAGAAGACTTGTCCACTGCGCAGATGAAGTTAAATGAAGAAGGTTACATTGATGCAGGTACTAGATGTCCTTGGTGCTGCAGAAGGCTGACCAAGCCCTTTCCATAAGACAAGAGAGATTTGTTCTGAGTAAGGAAGAACTTCTTAATCAGCACATTGCAAGAACATAGAGGCAGTCCAGGACAATGAAGTCATCTCCCAATGGCACGGACAGCCTAAAAGAGAGGCTGCAGCCATGAGCCCTACGTGTTTGCACAGTCCCTTCATCTCTCAGGCCTCCACTTACCCCACAACCATACACTGTTTATGCTAGCATTGTTTTTTAAATATACTTGAATCCTGAGAGACCATAGAAGGATAAAGCAATCTGGTCTCGGGGATAAGGCAATGAGGCTTCATACTGCCTACCAGCTGTGTGACCTTGGGGTGAAAAAATATCTGTGGACTTCTTCTTTTTTTTTCAACTATAAAATGTGGTCAGTGAGTACTTGCCTGCAGAGGATGTTGTCTAGAATAAATAAGACAGAGCAGAGAATGGGCTTACCCCAGTGCCAGACACATAATGAGAAATATCTGAGTGTTGCTGTCAGCCCACTCACAAGTGTCTGCTACATACCTCATTCTGTGCTGATTACCCTAATAGGCACAAGTTAAGATCTTCCAAGCTGAAGCCAAGCAGAAAATGTAGACAAGAACAAATCTTTCTCAACTTCCCTTTGGTCCAAACTACTTCCGCTGACATTACCACTCTCCTCTTTACCTTGGTTTGCTCCATGTTTGCCAGTCTCAGCCTCATGGAGGTGGCATCTGTAAGATGAGACCTTGTGACAGAGGCCTGTGTAAAGCTTCTGTACTGTGGCCCTTAATTTCTATTTGGTACGTGTGTGTGGTGTGGGGTGTGTGTGTGTGTGTGTGTGTGTGTGTGTGTGTATGAACATAAGTACACATGCATATAAAGACAAGAGGAAACCTCACGTTTTCATTCAGAGGGTGTCTATTTTGAGGCAGGGTGTCTATTATCCTGAAGCTTGCCAATTCAGCCAGTCTGGGTGGCCAGCCATCCGAGGGGTTCTCCTGTCTCTGCCTCCTTCTCACTGACTGTTACTTCAAACAAATACTATTCACTGCACCCAGCTTTTTAAATGTGACCTGGTGGTCAAACCTGTGCAACGAGAGCTTTAGCAACTGAGCTATCACCTCAGCCCTCTTGCTTCATTTTGTATTGTCTGAGCTTGTCCTAGCCATCATAATGCTACCAAAAACTAGGAGGCTGGCATTAGAATCTCCCACACATTGCCCATGTCAGCATACACAGATGTGGAAAGGTAGTAGCTCTATCTACATCTTTCTTTTATTTGATATAATTATGCATTTACATGCAATTGTAAGAATTAGTAGGTGAGATCCCAATTTCCTTCTTGCACAATTTCATTGGCAGGAATAGCCTACCGACCTTATCCAAATTTTGTCCATTTTACACACCCTCACTTATATATACACACACGTGTCCTAAGTTGTATGTGAATTTGTTACATTTAGGTTTATGTAAACGTAGAATCAAGGCACAGAACAGTTCTCTTTTTGTTTCAGTCTATCCCACCAGCTGCTAATCTGTTCTGTGTCTATGGTTTTGTCATTTCAAGCATATCCTGCAAATGGCAGTGTGCTAATAGTATATATCCCTTTAAGACTGGGTTCTCTCTTGTAGCATAATTCCCTGTGATACAAACAGGTTGTTGAGCGTATTAATACTCTCTCTCTCTCTTTTTTTTTTTTTTGCCGAGTTGTTCTCTGCGACAAGGATAGACCATAGTGACTTCATCCATTCATCTGTTTTCAGTTTGAGCCCACTTGAGATAAAGCTGTTCATGTATAGATGTGTGTGTGTGTGTGTGTGTGTGTGTGTGTGTGTGCGCGCGCGCACGCGTGCTCATGGATTTCTCTTTCCCTGAAATAAATGCTTACAAGCTGCTGGGCTATTTGATCAGTACATTCTTAGTCTGGGTGTTTTGTTTTGTTTGCTTGTTTTTGAGACAAGTTCTCACTATGTAGTCATGGCTAGCCTAAAACTCACTAGATTACCCAGGCTGGCCTGAACTCACAGAGATCTGCCTGTCTCTGCCTCCCTGGATTAAAGAGATTAAAGGCATACACAATACCCAGTAAACATGCTTAATTCTATAAGGAGCTGCCACAGTTTGCTGTGACCACACTCTCTTACATTCCCACCAGCAATGCACAGTGATCTGGAGTCCAGTTCTTCTGCCAACATTTGGTGTCATCATTTTCTGACAGTAGCTCTGTGTATGTGTTTGCAGAGGTGCCTCAGTGTGGTTTCAATTGGCATCCCCCTAGTGGCTAATGACATTGAACATCGTTCAGTGTGCTTATCTGCCATCTGTATATCCTCTTCAGTAAAAGATCTGATCACATCTTTTGCCCTTGTTCTAATTGAGTTGCTTGTTAGTTTGCTATTTAGTTTAAAGAGTTCTTTATACATTCTAGATACAAGCCCTCTGTCAGATATGTGATCGGTAAATATTTGCTGCCAGGCCACAGTCTTTTTATCTTCACAGGATCTTCTTTGTTGCTGTAGATTTTTGGTTTTTTGTTTTCTTTTGTTTGTTTTTAGGCAGGATCTCTCTATGTATCCTTGGCTATCCTGGAACTCACTGTGTAGACCAGGCTGGTCTTGAACTCAAAGATATATGTCTGCCTCTGCCTCCAGAGTGCTAGGATAAAAGACATGCACCATGATGCCTGGAAGGTTCTTTTTAAGAACCAGCATTTTTTAATTTTAGCAAGCAAGTCATTTTCCATTTTTAGATTATAGTTTTGGTATCATGTCTAATATTTCTTTGCTAAATCCTACATGCCAAGATTTTCTGCTTTCTCTCTCTCTCTCTCTCTCTCTCTCTCTCTCTCTCTCTCTGTGTGTGTGTGTGTGTGTGTGTCTGTTGTTTTTTTTCAAGACAGTGTTTCTCTATGTAGTCCTGGCTGTCCTGTAACTTGCTCTGTAGGCTAGGCTGGCCTCAAACTCAGAGATCCACCTGCCTCTGCCTCTGAGTACTGGGATTAAAAGCATAGGCTATCATGCCTGGTTCCATTTTTTTTTTTCTAAAAGTGTTACAGTTTTCCATCTTATATTTAGGTCTTTGCTCCATTTGGATTAATCTTTATGTTAGACATGGAGTTTAAATTAAGGTTTAGAGCTTTTTGTTTGCTTGTTTATGGATGTCCGGTTATTCTAGCACCATTTGAACAAGCCCCTGTTGAAAAGAAATTCAGACATATTTAACATGAACCATAGCAATGTGTGTAGATTTTTCCTGTCACTTTTGGGAATTAATACTGAGAAAATAATACAGAAATGAGAACGATACACTTAGGTGATTGTGTTTCATGTGTGTGTGTGTCTGTGTATCAAACCAAAGGTCTAGTGAATGCTTAGACAGTGTTCTACTATTGAGTTAGATCCACTTTGTTTTCCAGCCTCATTATGTAACTTTTTTCTAAATAAAACTGAAAATTTGAATGTACTATAAGTGGCCAGCAACAGGGAACTAGTTAAAGAAAGTGCCTATATGGACTCATATGTGACAATTGAAAATTATTCTCATCCATTCAATATTTATTCTATGTAAATAAGATAATGCTATGAGCCAATTAGACATCACCCCTGCCTTCTCACAGCTCTCAGTCCAGAAGAGAGATAGAGAGAACAATTCTGGCACTTAGAAAAGCATATTTGATGAGCTAAGGGAAAACCAGAAAGCAAAATTCTATGTGTAAGTTTATTAAAATACATACATGTGGGCCAGCAAGATGGCTCAGTGGATCAAAGCACTTGCTGCCAAGCTGGCAACCTTGAGTTCAATGGACCCGCACAGTGGAAAAAGAGACCTGAATCCCACAAGTTGTCCTCTAACCTCCACATGAGCACCGTGGCACATGTGCACACACAGAAAGGTTTCTTTTAGGGTATTTGGATAAAGACAGTTGTTTTTTCATCCCGTGTTTTCCATACTTTACATATACTTTCTTCTTATGACAATAGGAGCAACAAGCTGAGTTTGGTGGTCCATGCCTGTAATCCTAGTGCCTAGGATGCAGGAGAATTATGAGTTCAAGGTCATCTTCAGCTACATAGTGAGTTGGAGACTAGCCTAATCTCCATAAAACTCTGTCTTAAAAATTGATGAACTAATAGAAGTGAAACAAACCCCAATGAAAACAATAATAACAACAAAGGAGAAAGCTTCAAATGCTAAATAAGCTCAAGCCATGTTAGGATCATTTGAACAGGTCCTTGTGCAGTATCCCAAATGGCTTGGACAGCAAACAGTTGGTACCCAGTGCCCAGCTAAGTCATGCCGGATTATCCAGTCCGTCAGCAGGTATCATCAGAGTAAGGCAGCCCATATCACATGAAGCACATGTCTGTTCATAAATTTAAGAATAGACATTGTCTGACCTCTGGGGCATTTCCAAAAAACTGACCTCTATTTTCCTTGTGTTTGCTTAGTACTTCATGCTATATAGTATGCCATGGTCCTTTCCCATGATCCCTCAGTGAATCTATAAAGTTGTTTGGGAAGGTATAATTTCCCCATTGGGTAGACACTAAGGGGTCATAGAGAGCCTAGGTAAGTTTCCCAAGGCCACATAGACAATCCATGGCAAACCTGGAGCTTGAACCTGGACTTCTATTGCTAAAGTCAGTGCTCTTCTCAGAACCGCAGCTGCCTCCAGAACAGCTGTGCTAACAGTGGGCTGAAAGCAAGTGACTAATCTCCAGGGTTATACGGAGAGTTTAAACCATGTGGATGGGAAACAGGAGCCACAGCAAGAATGGGCTCCCCTCCTCTGATGAGTTGGAGCTGGGGGCTTGACAGGGAGTGGGGTGTGGTATGGACACCTGACCTTACAGCTCTTCCTCTCCCCAGATGGTGAAGGCAATCCAGGTCCTGAGGATCCACCTGCTAGAGTTGGAGAAAGTCAATGAACTCTGCAAGGACTTTTGCAACCGTTACATCACCTGCCTCAAAACCAAGATGCACAGTGATAACCTGCTCAGGAATGACCTCGGGGGGCCCTACTCCCCCAACCAGCCCTCCATAAACCTTCACTCACAGGTAACACACAGGGATGGGCCTTAATCTCCTCAGCCAGGCATGCAGAAAGGTCTGAAGGACCCCAATGACCTGGGCAAAGCAATTTGAACCATCAGATCCTTTTACAAGGAGATCCTCCTCTCTCCATCAGGCAGCACAGGCCCTTGTTTTTATTTGATTGTTTGTTTGTGACAGGGCCTTAGCATGTAGCCTACTCTGGCCTCAAACTCTTGATCCTTCTGCCTTAGCCACCATACCTAGCCACACAGTTCCTTTATCACAGAGACTCCCACATGCCAGGATATGAGCATCTCCTCAGTGACTACATCTGAGAGAGCCAGTGTCCAAAGAAATTTCTGGCTTCCTACCCCAATATTTACCAAGACGTGCTAGGTAGGTGAGCCCTGGTCTGTAAAGGAGAAAACATACTTGCCTAGCTGACAGCTGGGGATGGTAGGTAGACTGCCAGGCAGTCTCCTCTGAAGGGCATGAAGGGGCTCTTGGCAGTCCTGGAAGAAGGCTCCAGGGAAACTGGTCCTTCCCCCAAATTCTGCACGCCTGGTAGATAAAGACAGATTCCACAGGCCTGCTTCTCCCAGCTCAGCCCCCACCAGTACTCTCCCTGGTACTCTGCCCCACAAAAGTTTAGGGCCACTGTGAAAAATCACTTCAAGCAAACCCCTTCCAAGATTCCACTGTCACGTTCACCCTAGGAAATGGTGCCTATTCCACACTATAAGAAAGACTGGGCACACTCTCCAGAACAGAATCTACAAACTCAGAAAGCTGCCTGATTATTCCTGTACACCGCACTTGCTAACATCTACTCAGAATATAGGCTCCCGGCTTCATTTCCCTTCACTGAGTTTCTGAAGTCCAGAAAACACATGCCCTTGGGAGGCTCACAGTAACCCTTCTCCTTAGACAGACAGGGATAGGGATACAGGGTTAACTTTCTAAGGGTCAGTGACGGGAGCTACTGTGAAGGTTACATGAAAGGCTGTGCTATTTTCATTTTAGGTGTGTAAGGACTCAGGTTGGTAGGGGCAAAGGGAGGGACACGCTTTGCTCATTGTGACCCCTCCACACTTCCACAGGTACACCCTGTATTGCATCATGCTCAGCCCACTGGGCTTTCTCTGGGCCTTGACACTAAGAACGGCATAGGACATGGGGCAAGAAGTTTATTTCCTCTTTGTATTGCTTAAAATCACCAAATCACTTTATTACAGAACTAAAAACAGCGGCCTCAGCTCCCGCTTGCTAATATTCTCTTGAAATAGACTCATTCCTTCAGAGTCTTATTGTACTTTCCCTTATGATCGAAATTAGCAAGAAACTTGCATAAAAGAGGACAATAATTGCTCAACGAGCATCTCGTTTGTAATTTATTAGTTTCTATTATTGTGGGTTACCATGGTGATGCTGCGCAGCCCCGGTGACGGGAGAGATGTAAGATAGGAGCTGAGGAGGCTGCGAGGCCTCACCAAATGGAGATGCACATTTTTATCAGTAATTTTCATGAAAATAATAAGTGAGGAGTTAATGAGATGGAAAGCCATCCTGTGGCTATTGTGAATTTTTTTTAAGTGTTGATCTAATTAGAATGCATCGGTCAGGAAAAGTAATGAGGATTTAGTGCCTCACAGAGATGTGAGGATCATATCAGAAAATTAGCACAAGTCTTTGGAAATAATCAGGTCCTTGGAGAGGCCCTGGATTTTCCCTCCTGGGCCCTCCAACTCTACCTTGAGCTCTGGAGTTGGGGGTGTACCAAGGTAGCATTGTGGAAAGGCAAGGAAGGAGGGGCTGGAGGCTCAGCATCCACAGTGGCCCCTCAGGGCTGGAGGTCTGTCTGAGGTTGACAAGCAAATCTGAAGGAAGCAGGGGTTTGCAGGGAAGTGTAGTGTGGGGAAAGGGAACGTGGGCTCTGGATGATCCAGGTGTTAGAACTGCTGACTGCAAAAGCCAGACCTCTGGGGCATGCCCCTCTGTACCTCTGAGCTTTGAGGAAGAAGGCAACATTAGATCCCTGCCTGAGAGTGAGATTGGCCCTAGGGTAGCCCCTGCAGAAAGCTCTGATCTCAGAGAAGGAGAAACTCAGGTGGTTGGGTGAAAACAAAGACACCAGGGGAGGGGCAGGGATGCATAGTGAGATATTCCTAGTTAGTTCCCATCACTTCCTCTGATTGCCGCTCCCTCCTTCCCACCTGTTTCTCCTGGCTATCCCTCAGTCCCGCTCTACAGCTGTGCTCCACGTACATTGCTTCTGCTGGATTTGTCTTTCTGAAGTGTGTGGTCTGTAGACCCTGATTGCCACCAGGGCTTTCACATCTGCCCTCCTGACATTCAAGACCTCAAAGGTCTAGCCTCAGCTCCCATTCCTGAGCTACACTGCTCCAAGGTACCATGACCATTTTTTTTCATGCCTATATGTTGAGGGGACATGTCTCCACGCCAAACCCTTCTTCTCCACAAGGCCAAAGCAGCCTTTTCCCAGGGACAGTAGCTGCTCTCCCAAAGAGGTCTCTCTGGCCCCCTTCTATAAGAGCCCTTTCCTTCTCTTAGCCGATGGCCTATCATTATTGCAGCAAATGTCACTTAGGAATGCCGCTAGATGAGAAATTGTAAAGCTTGCTTTCCTTTCCTTGAAAACACATGTTATTTGCATCGACACAGCATTTTATATATTTGAAATCACCAAATGACTTTATTGCAGATCTAAAAACAGCTACCCATGCTTCTGCTGGCTAATATTCTCTTGAAATAGACTCATTCCTTCAATATTGTTCCCTTATGATGCCAGCTGTGGCCATGATGTCTTCTGAAAGATCAGGGGCCAGTAGACATTGGTTGAAAGAAGTAATGTGGCAGAGAAGGGTGGTGCGAAGAAGGGGGAAGGAGGAAGAGGAAGAAATGAAAAGAACTAAGAAAAGCGGAAGGAAAGACAAAGAGGAGGTTAGCCTCATTCAGGAGGGGATCAGGGAGAGGCTGGAGTTTTGTCAGAAAAGAACAACAAAGAGGAAGACACAGAGAGATATGGGCAGAGGCAAAAGCAGGAAATGTGAGGCAGAGGTTGAAAGAAAGTAGGAAGAGGTATGGTGGCCATGATGAGCCGGAAGATCATAAACAGAATAAAGAACTGAATGGCTGGGAAGAAAGAGTATGAAAAAGGAAAAGAGAGGGTGGGCTTTTCTCTCTCTCTCTCTCTCTCTTTCTCTCTCTCTCTCTCTCTCTCTCTCACAGCAAGCTCTGCTTTTCCAAAGTTGTCAGGGGGCTGGGCAGTGTGCTCATCATCCCTGCTGAGGCCCTGAGACTTCTGTCCCATGCTGAGCATCCTGAGGATTCACCTGTGACTTCTCAGACCGTGTGGGGTGAAGGGCAGGTGGTCCGGCTTGGAGAAATTACCACTTACATGAGCTTGAGCTTGTGCATAGTCTGGACGAAAAGGGGCAGAAAGTGACTCGGGTTTGCTGTGTGTTGTCCTCCAATCAGGTTCATGTCACTGTCTCCCTGAGGCAGGATGGGGGTGGGGGTGGGGGTGGTCTTGCCTGAGCTCATTTAGGAAAGAGATCCTCAGATTCCTATGAGCTAGGACCAGAGGCTTAGTTAATATAAGTGGCAGATATAAGGAGACAGCATGGGAGGTGATTGGAAGGAGGGAGAGAGAAAGGGAGGAAAGGAAGGAGGTAAGAATTGAGGGAGAGGGAGGGAGGGAGGAAGGAAAAGAGAGAAAGAGACTATGCCCATTCATCATGCTCCAACCTTAGTCCCCTGCAGCTTGAAATAGCTGCCCCATGTGCTAGCCTGACTTGAGGAGGGGTGTCACCTCTCCCCCCCCCCAACCCCAACAGGATCCTCCAGCCCAACATCCCAGCTGCTTGCCAGCTTTGTTTTAAACTGCTGGCTCATGGTTTTCCTTGAGTGCTGATCACAATGTCTTGTGCGGCGAAGTAGGAGACACTTTTGTTTTCCAAGCGGCAGTCCCATTCCCAGATGCTATGTTGTGTCTTCTCCTCACTCACTCTGTGGGGGTTGGCCTATTCCCAGCTTGGTCTTCCATTTCTATCTGTCAGTGTTCTTTGAATGGGTAAGATGAAGGTGGGGATGTGAGGAGACTGTTTTTACCACATGGGTGTTCGTGGAGGGGAGGGTGTGTGTGTGTGTGTGTGTGTGTGTGTGTGTGTGTGTGTGTGCAGTTTCAAGGGCTTCAACTAGTGCAGCATACTTAGCTGTCTCCACCTCCCCAGGAAACTATCCTGTCTTGCTCAAAGAGAACATGTTACACCCAGGCATGCTATGGGGAGCAGCTTCCCCACCACCGTGCTCTAAACTCAGCTCTGGGTTCTCCTGTCCTTAGAGAGTGCTAACTAAATCATCTCACTAGAGAGGACCCAACTCTTGCCTCACTCAGGCTAATTTGATCTGAAAACAATCCCACTGTCTCCACAGAGATTTAGAGCCCTAGTATGGGGACTGGGACATGATTCTCCTTTAGTTGACAGTCATTTGGGGATGTTTACTGTATGCTCTGTCTTAGGTCCTGTGAGAACTCAGGTGACTATTTCGCAGGGACAGCCTGATTCCAGGGGGAGTGAGCTATGACTCTAGAAGTCTTCTGACAGGTGTAGAATGCTCAGAGCCTGGAAAGGTAGGAAAGGGACAGCAGAGGAGAGGGGAGGGGCGGAAGGAAGGGGTCCTGAGCTGAGCACACCCCATATGTGGCTTGAGATCATCCTTTTCCCCAATGGACAGCCAGACCTGGGACTCAGCCAGCACAGAGCTGAGAGCCAGGTCCATTTCTGCCCCCAAACAAGCTGAACAAATCTAAGGATGGGGAATTTTGCCTATCGTAGTAGGAGAAGCTGCAGATTCACTGGCCAGACTTTCTGGGGGAGATAGTCTTTTAGGAGGGCTTGGGAGAGTTAGTGGCCTACTGGCATCTCTGAAGATAACTGTTCCTAGGACAGAAAGAAGTCTGAGTGAGGCTAAGGAATAGCCTTTTAGAATTCCTGGAGAGA